GGGGGGGAAGGGAAAAAAAAAAAAAAAAAAAAAAAAAAAGCCAAGGCTACTTCAGCCAACAACAAATTAATTTAACATGTTAACACAAACGCCTCGCTGTGGAGGCCTTTTACTGACCTTCTCCAGCAGATATCCAATCACCAGGAAGCCCTTGCCTCCCAGCATCTGCTCCTGCATGGCCACCGAGCTCTTCAGCAGCTCCACCAGGAAGGCCAGCAGAGTAGCACTGCAACATACACATCGTACACACACACACACACACACACACACACACACACACACACACACACACACACACACACACACACACACACACACACACACATATATATATATCAGGAATGCTGCGTGGAAATCAGTGATGGATTTCTACATGTTCTCTATCGGAGTATGTGATAAAAACCCAGTATTTTTAATAAGCAGTTGTATTTTTGTGTTCCTGATGATACTTGACAAATAATCTGACTGCAGTGAACATGATGGGGAGATTGTATATAAGTGTATTAACGTTCATGTGCGAGGAGCGCAGACACACCGCCTTCCTGAAAGCTGCTCATCGCTCTGGGTGAAACCACATAACTCTTCTTCCTCCCTTCACACTTACACACCCTGCTCTCTTTAATCAGTTATTTCTTGCCTGCAGCATGATGATCTAAGGTTGGTCTTTCAGATAGAAGATAATTCTCATACAGAAGATTAATCTTTTCCTAATGTTGCTCTTACTTTCACTTCTTATCCCTCTACTTTGTTTGTTTCTGGGTATGTTTCAGGATCATCTATAGTAGATTTTGCATATTAAACAAAAAAATAAATAAAATAGACTAATCTAGAAATCATTTATAGCGTCTATATCGCTGCTTTCCACACAGCTACTGGCTGCCATTCATTTCTGCGGAGCACTCACCAGACTGTGGTGTCCACGCTGCTGTCATTGAGCTGTTTGTAGTCCAGCTGAGCAAAGAGAGGAAACAGGACCTGGATGCCTCCTATAGAGTGGATGGCGCTGTGGATGGAGTGGGTAACAATAGCTTTCACATCCTGTGGGAACAGAAATGGGCCGTTAGCGCTGACAGAGACACGGGCGATACTGAATGTGCACACAGACACTCAGCCACTGCCATTAAAAATTGAAAAACAGCTCTCATGTATAGGCTTAAAGCAAAAATATCTGCTGTTGGCCTTAAATACAGTAAAGCTACAATTACGGATGGTACCTCTAGTTTTGAGCTGAATATCAGATTTTAATATATATCTAAAATCTATTTGTCACGATTTCACATTGATGTACGTATTGTTCTTGGTTTTTTGTCCATTACGCTTTCTTTCGCACATCTTTTTCCAGGTCTCAAGAAAAAATAAAATAATTTCATATTGACAGAATAAATCATTTCACAACTAAAATTCTCCATAGCACTGTAAATGGCTGCCTTGTGCTGTCTTGACTGAACTGAACTGACAAAAAAAGAGGACTATACACCAGCTATAATACAATGTGACTCTGCCTTTTGTGATTGTGAATTACAGTAATTGCAGCCTGAATCCCTGGTGCATTCTTAAGAGGAGGAAGAAATTCTTTAAAAAAAATCAAGATGAGATACAAAGAAGAGCCACCATTAGCAAAGCACAGCTCCAGTGACCAAAGACGGCTTAAATACAACCACAAGCAATATCCTCAAAGGAGAGAGAGAGTTCAATTAACAGCTGAGACCTGTGAGTCAAATGTGGACAACATGGCTGCAGGGTGCAGTAGCAATTTTGGCAAAGGTGTATTTAACTGAAGATTTGCTTTTTCTTTTTTTTTTGTTTACTACCATCTAATATCTATAATTTTCATATCCACAGCAATCCCAGCAGGCTAAATAGTACAGTTTATTCCACAGGGGGTGTGAGTCATCCTGTGACAAACTACCCTGATAATCACTTAATGAACATTCAGAGGTCTGGCGCTGGGGTTAGTGATGAAGAGCCACACTGACCTGTAGCATGAGTGCGTGCGGTGAGTGGACAAAGATGGACGGGTTTTCCCTGGGCGACGACTCCAGGCAGAGCTGGGCATCCGTCGCCTTGGCGTTGTAGGTGAAGGAGATGGAGCTGGCCAGCTTGCCATCGTACAACACCTGCTTGTGGTGCTCAGCCAGGTGGATGTCGCTCTCTGACTTAAACTTGAAAGTGCTCTGTGGTGACAAACAAAGAAAGAAGGAAGTCGTCAAAGGTTGTGGTGAGAGAAAAACAGAATCAGAAGGACAAATGACTTGTCCAGTGGAAATAAAAGGTGTGTGTGTGTGTGTGTGTGTGCGCGTGTCAACGACCAAAATGGAGTCTGCTTAATTGCAGCATGTGTCGTGTGTAAACAACACAGCATTAGCTTAATGAACACAGCGCTAACTCGGGCACTAATTCAATTAGCCCAGAATAAGAGATGGAGGGGGGGTGGGAGAGAGGCACTCGGAGCTCCAAATTTATCTTCTCCCTTTGTAGTCTACCAACAAAAAACACACAAAAGAATATAGATGCAAACTGGCATATTTGTGTTATTCAATGTTTTTGTATTACACTCTTCTCTGGGAGCTGCTGAGCCTTTATTTTGTTGAAATCTAAGATATTTTTTTCATGGCTAAATTTCCTTCTAAAGAATTGTAAGGCAGGTTTACAAAAGGACAGACACCTTGTCTTCTTGGCTACCACCAAAAATAATTGGTTCTATCCATACAGACATTGTAGGAGGTATAAACTGAATTCTGTTTGTGTGTGTGTGTGTGTGTGTGTGTGTGCATCTATGTCTAAATCCGTCTGTCTGCACAGGTCAGTGGATACATATATCCTGCAGCGGTGCTGACACACACATGAAGGCCTGCAGATGAACGGCCAGCAAGTTGCTCTGCCACCCTTTGCAACAGCTCTGGGCGAGGAGCGCTCTCTCCCCTCCGAGCGGCTGGGTCCCCGGGTGCCTCGCTCAGCCTGACTGCTCAGGAAAGCCCCGGGCCGCTCGCAAACCTGCAGGCCTGTCTTGTTCTAAACCTTTCATCTGAGGTCTGCAGCAGAAAATGTGCCCTGAGCAGTTTTAACCATGCAGAACTAAATTTCACACTGAAGCAAAGAGCGCACTGCACAATGGATACATCTGAAGGAAACAGCCTCTGCACAGTGTAACATCCTTATCCCCGTCCAACAGCTGAATACAAGTCTCACCCTTAATTTTCCCTCTCTCCTTTCCTACGAAGAGGAACTGATCGAGACCGCTAATCTGCATCTGAAACACACTCTCTACACACACCTAGACACACATTCTTGCCAGCGAAACATTATTTGCAAGAGTAATTAATGGTAATTACATGGCAGGACAGCATGTCTAAGTTTAAGAACATATTACTTTAGCAAAATACAAGAGCCGATGACCCGGGGTTAAAAAGCATATCCATTTAGAGTAACCCAGAATACTGCAGCCATGTGCAGGGATAATCAATCACAAACACAAATAAATGGCTCTTCGGTGTATTTCGAAGGTTAGTGGCCCCTCTGCATGGGGAAAAAATAAATAAATACTGAATAGCCTGAATGTGAAATTAATAAACTTATTAAGATACACATTTTTGCAGTGTAAGCCCATTTATTGTGAGGCATTTATGCAGGCTGTGTGTGTACTTGTGCATATGTACAGATGTGGCTGTGTAAATGTGAGTGTGTATTTATGTTTGCTGTGTTAAATGAGGGAGGCAGGTAGCTGGTGGTGTAAAAGAATTTTGCTGACGCTTTATAGTATTAAGGGATGTACTGAGCATGCGATTAGGCGGAGGGTGTAAGGGTACCAGAAAATGGAAATTTTGACACATATAAATCTTTACGCAGCTCGGGCTTTAACACATATGTGTCTCTCACATGGTTTGAAGAAACACACAGAGGAGTGAAAGCGTCAACTGCCGCCTGTCTCGTACCTGACAGCTGCGGATGCGGCACTGACCTGCAGTAACAACAGCACACCCACATCAACTCCATTCAGCTCTTGCATCTGTGCATCTCCACACAGTTTGCTGAATGAAGACCACTCCTCCGAAATGAGTTTTCCAGCATGTGAAACACCAATGCAAGTTCCGAACCTAACCTTAACTAAATAAAATCTAAAACTGATCAAAGAATAAATCTAGCTAGACATTTGAGGCCAGTTCAGGACATGACATTCTCAGTCTGATACAAACCAGTTTTTAGGGAATTTAATTCTCTGAGCATTCAAAATTAAAATGCTAAAAACAATCAGACTTTCAATCATACTATTATGAAACCTGACATGATGTGTGTGTGCAAAAACACACATGGAGACATACAACACAGGTGTCCAAATAGACTTATATGGTTCATTAATTATGTTGTGGCCAGATTGTTGGCAGTGCTCACCACTTTGCAATGAGGACATCTGGACTGATGATGAAGAGTGCAACAAGCAAAACACTCAATGCGAGTGACAGGAAATGGACACACACACACACACACACACAGACAAAAAACCAAAAGGAAACACACAGAACACACAAGCAAAAAGACAAAAACCACTGAAGCTGTGTTTTGACTACAGCCTGCGTACTAAAACAACATGTTATGTTCCATCTTCTCCTGTCATTAGGAGAGCATGGAAGTGCTGAACTGCACACACATACAGACATTCACTACACACAGCATGTTGGCCATCATGAGCCGCGTCAAGCGAGAAGACCTTGAACACCCTCCCTGTGCTGAAGGCTTGTTTAGCAGAGCGAGCAGAAAGTCTGTCTGCTTCTTGCTCCTCATTATTGAACAGTAACACTTACAGTGGCTGAGACCAAGAGGCTTCATACAGCTATGCACACACACACACACACACACACATATATATATATATATATATATACACTGTACAGTAGATACAGATACTGTTCTCTTCAACACAGATGAGGCAATACCCCCAGAGCAGCTTGTCATATACACACATCATCATCTGCGTGAAGTCATGAGAACAAGCACCGGCCTGCATTGGCATTAAGAGAGGAAGCTGTGTGACACAAGCTGAGTTCCACTGGCGTCCTCTGTTGCCGACCGGAAAAACCTGCGCACTCGTCATTACAATACCAGCGCCGAGGCCGGCGGCTTTGAAGGAACTGGGCCATTTAATGGTCTCTTCTGGGCATCAGAGAAGCCCATTTTGCGCCATGCAGAGAGGCAATCATCTGACTGATCAGCCTCAGAAAACCCTGGGCTGTGACGGAGAGAGGAATCAGCATTTGTGGCAGGCAAACAGCAAAACCCTAAGCATGTGCTCATTAGGAGGAACATGTGACAACTCCAGTCTATGATGTGCCCTACGTTATATGATGTAGGACAAGAGCGGTTGAGAGAGAGAGAGAGAAGACAAGTGTGAGAGAAAGAGACGGGTGTGAAACTTGCATGTATGATTCAGGGCTTCTTTGTGTAGCTCTACCTGTTATCAGTATGTTTCTCCGTCAGTGTCACTTCATCAGGTCTTGTTTCTTTTCTTTTTTTTATAAATAAGAGCAAAAACACATACAAAACACATGAGGATTCTCACGTAACTCTAGCTCCTCCTCTACTTATCTCAAAAAACGTTGCAAAGTCTTTAAAAAATTGCCAGATGAACCTTGCAGGGTGTGCTCAATTTTTTCTAACCTCATATGACATAAAATATTTCTGATCCACTGCGAATGAGATCGAGGAATTGCATCTTTCCATTTCAGGAGGACTTGACAACGAGCGAGCAGCGTACACGATGCCAGGAAGTCACGCTGGAACTTGTTCAAAGAGAGCTATAATAGGGTAAGGGTCTACATTTACTTCAAGGACCTATGAAAGTGTCATAAACACAGAAGTCCACTGGACTGCTAGCTTGGAGCAGTTTCAGAAAGTTTGACGATACGAAGATGGGATCATTCTATAACTTCGCACTCTGGATCTATTTTCTGGGATTCTCTCTGACTACTTCATTAGGTATTGGTAATCAAAATAAATTCTTGATTTAGTGCTTAACCTGTCTAAGGAGTCGTTCAAAAACCAGCAGCTGTTCGCACACATCAGCAACCTCAGACATCCGCGCGGTCCCATGGTGCTGAAATCTAGACAGTTTTGGACACCTTCGTAAACAAGCTGTAAGTGGCCTGAGGCGTGCAAGTCAGCCAAAACAAGAAGCAGACAGCTGGCAAGGTGTTGCGGCATCTCGGCTGTCACTGATAGCCAGGCCAAAAGGCAGAGATGGGGATTTCTAAAGTTATCAGTGCTCAACACCAAACATTGTGAAGCCTCATTTGAATAATTTTTATCACCACAGGAACAAAAAGCTGTGTTTAGACTTGTGGTTTAAGGGCAAAATCCACCCCTGGATACTTCCAAAACTGCAAATTCATTCCAAAATCATGATTTCCCAGGAGGTATTTAGAGATAGTGTAGTAATTTACTTTTTGCTGGGCCTCTTGAATGTGAAATTATTTTTTACTTTTTTATAGTGATTTCGTTCAATTGGGGGGATGTATGTGCATATTTACATTTATAGGCTACTGTACAGACTCTATAGTTGGAAAATGTATGTGTTAATCTAGGGGTGACAAGTTATTCTGTCCAATGATATCTGTCCCACTTTGAAATTACACATGAATTCACCGAAAGTCTCAGTTTTCCCACCAACACTTAAATGCAGCATGCATTTGTGAATCAGTTGGGAGCTGCGTAAATAACTTTTGCTTAAATGGTGAAACAGCTAAAAGTAAATGATTAAAAACAGAAGCTAAATAATAATATAGTGGATGAACAGCGTAATGTGTTGATGTTGTGTTAATGTTGAATTCAACTTAAACTGAAATAGCTAAAAATAATTGATAACTGATTAAAATGAATACCTAAATTAAACAGTTCATATAGTTATCTGAAATTAATTTATAAACTGTTTAAATAAAGTAATGAAGAACTGCTTGAAATACTTAGCTAAGTCTCTCAGTGGTAGTCGCAAGAATATAAACTTGATCAGACCAACCTAAACACTTACAGTTCAAGTGTATGAAAAATAATGTTAAAATATCCACTTTTATATACGTGACATTGTTAATCAATAACCAGTTAAAAGCATTTAAAGTCAACACATTTGCATGCTGGAGGAGTACTTGAGTTCATACAAGGCTGTGGGTTGTGAGTCTCAACTACCTCAAACTGAAATGTGAACGGGCAAAGACGGCATTAAGTAACACTTACAATGCAATCCTCCAGCTACCAGGATATTCTGTGTGGCAAACGATGCATGACATTGATACGCTGTAAAGCGAACAGAGAATATACAGCACTGATAAGGTAGTACGTGGGTGTCTAACCTTGTATCCTGGGCCAAGCTGGTGAATGGCAAAGATCTGAGCTGGGTTGAGAGCTTCACTGAATACATAAATGGCTCCCAGCTGACCACAAAACACCCTGTTAGCGTCCGCTGTCTCTGATGAACCCAGGAAACACTTGTCATAGCTCTGGGGGAAAAAACAGTAGAACACAAGTAAAAATTAGCTATCATATAAAACATTTCAAATTTTCAGAGCTTTCCTGCAAAGGGCATTTGGGATCTAACATGATTTAACATGATTCACCGAAGGCGAGCAAGGCAAAAGCTATTGGAAGACGGACATTTTTATCAATTGTTACATAGTTTATTTTACATTTAACCCAGAACTAATTCTAGCTTTGTAGGCTACAGGTACAGAAGTGACAACTCCTCTCTTATAGATAGTGTGTTTTTCAGTTTCACGTCACATTAAAGGAGCTATTTGTAAATTTTGCTATTGCTACATTAGTATTAATTGCTGTTTACATACCAGACTTGCTAAGAGCTTTAGCCATCGTTGCTGTTACAAGACAGGAGGTTATAATACATCCCCTGAGCAGTGCTACTTCTTTAGGGCAGATTGGACGCTACACTGACTCAGTATTAGAAAGTGATGAGACAGGCCAACCAGGCCAGGGCTAGCTTAGTGTTGGGGTTAGCATGCTAACTTCAGTCGAAGAAACGAAGTGATAGAAATGGAAGAAAAACAAAAGGGTTGCTTTCCACTGCTGGAGACAGCTCTTTGCGAGTAAAGGAATGAAGTTTGCAACGTTTCTTTTAAACTGGTAAGTAAATAGCTGTTAATGCTAATTTAAGCTATGTAGCAATACCAACACCTTTAAGAAGAAATGTTTGTTCAAAGTTTGTTTATCTTGACATTCTAATAGTTAATTATTCATTTTCTCGGCTCACAACTTCATGGCGCTCTGTAGTGATGAACACAGTGCATGGCTGTTGAACTTTTAATAGCTGTTTGTTTCTAATCGCTCTGTTACAACTTTGCTATCACCTACTATTACAGTCTTTCTGCCCACTCGCCTTTCATCTCCTCCATCCCTCTGATACCCTTTATCGCAATGAAATCTCTACTCCTCTGCTTCTTCGAAGTGATGAAATAAGTTTTATCTTCAGCCTTTAGGACAAAACAAAGCCTGATAGCATCAATGTATTTTTGAAACCTGTTCTTTCACTCTTGTACTGTATGTGTCTTTTCTTACGTGTCTTTTCGGTGAGCTGTGTGAACTAGAGACTTCTCACCCCTTACAGATTTCTTACAGAGAATAACACCAGCCCTCAATAATTGCAGCAATGTCAAAGGCCAGACAGGAAGGGAAGTGTAATGCAGGCTGTGCTGCCACTGAGAGGTCAGGCTAACTGTCCCCTGCTAAATGGAAAAGTGGGAAGTTGGAGTTTCGGCGAACTGTGCTGGAAAGGGGCCCAAGGGCAACTCTGCCACAGCTGACAAATGCAGAGGGTAAACCACAGATGTTTGCCAGTATTACGACAGGAGGGAAGTGTGAAGTAGAGCCAGACTAACACTGAATTCTGAGGCTGGTATAGAAGGATAGGAACATATCATTTAGAGAATAATTTATTAGCAACGATCATTCAAATCTGGTTGAGAATAAAGCTTTTTTTTACCCAGAAGTCTCTTCATTACTTTGTGTTTTTCTGAAATCTTTAATGTAATTTTTCTACACATAACAACACAACTCTCTCAAGCGTCTGTGACAGACCAATATCAGTGCCCTTACATCATTGGTGTTGACGTGCCAGGCCATATCGCCATAGGAGACCAGCTGACCGTTGACATAGCAACGAATCTCTGAGTTCCTCCAGCGGTTGTAGATGTGGACAATGCTGATCATGTACCACTGAAAAATACAAAAACATAAAACATCAAAACAAAACACAAAAATTTTTTAGGCAAATTGATGTCAGCCAACATGGAAGATTAAAATGCATTGAACAACCATTTAGCGCACCTTAATCTACCACTAATAGTGTGAATGTGAGTCTGTGTGGATGTGTGTGCCTTCATTAGAAAGCATCTTCCCTGGTGACAATGCACACAGGTTCCCTGGAGGGACGACTGAAATGGAGGGGAGACTGTGGGGGGAGGTGCACAAGCTTGAATCTTGCAGGTGCACACATAGCTGAGAAGTGGACAATACCACATTCACATGCAAGCACTCACACACACACACCTGCGCACACACACACACACACACACACACACACACACATTAACACATGCACACTGAGGACGAAATGCTGTCCGACATGGTGACTTATAAAATGATCAAATGAAAGCACTGGGAACTTTGTTAGGCAGCAGCAGAGATTCTACTGGGTCAGCAAATACTGCGGAAGGCTATCTCATCAAGTGAATGTGTGTGTGGTTATGTGTGCATGCACGGGTGTGTGTGGGTATTTTTGTGTGCAGGACAGTAGCAAAATGCTGACAGCGCTGTAGAGGGGCAGTGTTTAGGTCTTAATTGACAGATCTTATCTAGAGTCATTAACAAGTGAGTGCAAGGAGAGACGGAAGAGGAGAGCAGCCACACGGTCCTGATGCCGTCTCATCTAACAAGTGGCTCTGGGTAACCAAACTCTGCACTAAATAAAAATTATTCAGTTGAGTTATTTGGTTGCACATGTGAGTGTTTTCTTACCTTGCGGGGTTGGAAATCGTATTTCACGCAGTGCTGGAAGCCTTTTCCTTTCGATTTCAACGACGTCACGATGAGACAGTTTCCCACAAAGTGAGCGGAGTAACCTATTCCTTTACTGGTGCGAAAGCTGCAGGAGAAGCAGAGAGAGTTCCACTTATTTCAGAAGATCTGTGTTTGAAAATACCTCTACTAGTTAAAAATAATAGCTCTAAATTAAAACGAATTGTGATACTTCTCAATGACTGGTGTAACATTTGAGTTTCTGTTTAGTTAAATGATGTTCACTGTGTAAAGTAAAAGCAAACATTTGCCACATAAATGAGATTCTGACCATGTCTGGTTTAATTTGTCAGATCGGCTTTACTGTAAACAATGTAACGTTTTTTTGATTTTCTGCAAGCCACCACTATGACTGCAAAAGGTCAAGTACATCAAAGGAAATCGACTATTTTTCACAGATAAAATTAGACCTTATAAAATCCTGCCTACTGAAATACAAGCAGGAAATGTTTCACACCCACATATCACAGTATTTAAGCCAATAGCAGTCACAAAAAGCAGGATTTTAAGGTGCTTTCTTTGCAGCAGCACCAGGGGTCCCAGATCATGGGTTTGTGAGAAACACTACTAATCCCCTTCCCTCCATTTTTTTCCTCCATAATGTTTCTCTTCCTGCGCTCGTAACCACCATGTAAAACCCAGTCTCACAGCTAAGCTACTTCGTGAAACAACAAGACACACTTCACTTCTAAAACAGGCCCAGAAGGATCACACGCATAGCGGAACCAGAAAGCAGATATAAATCCCCTCTCAAGTGAATCCCTGATACACAATAGGAGTGCATATGCCGTGTTATCGTGGCCTTAATGCAGCTGCGGAGGCCAGTATCAGACAGGCGGCTGGAGTAGCGGCTGCATCTGGGGGAGAATGATAAGACCTGGGCCAGAGGAGAGGGGGGCACCCTCCCTCTCTTGCTCCTTGCTTACCATGACAACCTGACGAATGGTTACTAAGGAAACAGGATTATATCCTCACACTTTTCACGATTAGAGCTCGTCTCTGCGATGGTATCCAGAGAATATATGGATGTATGACATCCTTCCTGTAGATGACTAGCTCCTTGATTCTTATTTCTGTCAGTAATGAATCAGTTTGACACTGTGAGGGGGAGAGGTGAAGGGAGGACGGCGCCGGTTAGCGTCAAAGAGTGAAGAGGTGGAGGGAAGGAGCCAAGCAGCAGAGTAAAGAAGTTCAATTAAATAAAAGGTCAAAGCTAATGAAGCTTCATAGTGGCTAACGGCCTGCACTTACAGTGCTAACGTCGAGGCCAGCGAAGGTCCAGAGCTGTACAATGAGCGGAGGCATCCGCCCAGCAGCATACTCATAATGGAGTGCCTTGACATTTAAAGTTATGTGCTAATTCATTATCTGTTTATCTATTAACTTTCTGTCCGTGTCATTCACTCTGATGAGTTAAATGTTTATCGCCTGAAGAGCATCAGTAAAGAAACTCTGAATAAAACTAATGCTGTGTCTATTGCTCAGGAGGAACCTGCAGGAAAACCTTAGAGAGATCATTAGTTCAGGATTCTCTGTGTCTGTGTTCAACAGATCTTTGACTGATTAGTATGAAACTAGCAGAACACATGAACAGTCCCAGCACTGAAAAACACTTGAATATGAATTTAAATAGTAAGTTGTTTTTGTCATATATCAAACAGAAATGCCATACAGTCTGTGATTATAACTGTGACGACTTCCTGGTGTAACATAGTAAATTCAATATTGTTGAGTAACCTCAAGGATGGATGGATGGATGGATGGATGGATGGATGGATGGATAGATGGAAAACAAGCAATTTAACCACATCACTTCTAACTTACTAACAGAAGACAACCTACCTTGTGCAGTATTGAGAGCTAATGAGGGAGATTATAAGGCCTGAGCTGAGTCTGTTAAGTGCTTTCTCATACTGTGATTAAGTGAAGCGCGCTCTCCTTCCACCTGTATTCACTTGAGTTAGTTTCTTAGTACTTTCACCAGAAAGGACGGCTGTCAGCGGCTTCTTTTACAATATTTCTTTTCCCTGTCTGACTGTTTAAAAAAAAAAAAAACACACAAAATTGAGAGAGCAAAGAGCCCCTTTCTCTATGATTTTGAAGGACTGACACAAAAATATGATGTTTAGCCCTGATGTTTTTGATTCCTTTTCTTCTATTAAACTCCTCTGTACCAGCACTCGCAAACAAATCGACATGTGGCTGGGTCAACAAAACGGGCAAAGCAATGAAAGATTCATGGCCATTAGAAATACTCTGACAGTAGTGAAGTGTTGAAGAGCATGTTTTTCTTTTATTTAGATTCAGAAAAAAAATACTGTAAGATATTTTCAGACCGTTTTTTTTTTTTATCATATGTAATTTTGTAATCCAGATGATTGCTATTCTACTTACCAATAGAGGTACGGTTTGTCTTTGTCCACGTTGATGTTGTTGAGTGGATCCTGTCTGAACCAAGTGTTGATAGTGAATCCGTTCTGGTAAGGCCATTTGGCAATTGGCGGCAACGCTATAGCCTGGAGGAGGATACACACTTTCAGAGCAGCTCTCGCGAATGTTTATAGCAATCAATATGTCTCTCAGTTCGTCATTACTTCTTTTTAACCATTCAACTCCTTGCACTGGTGCTAATTAAGATGTGCTGAGTGTAAACAGGAATGTCAGGAATGAAGGAGTCTTTAGCAATGTGGGTGCACAAAGCATAAATTAGACTCATTTTTGCTAATGAGGCCCCGGTGTGTGTTTTGTGTGTTTCTCTTCGGTCGGTCTCACCGCTGCACTGCGTCCTGGAAAGTTGAAGAAGGTATCAGGACCGTGTCTCTGAGGCATCTGGTTCAACACCGACAAGAGCTTGATCGCGTGTCTCGGCTGGAGGAGAGGAGAGGAGAGGAGAGGAGGAGAAAAAGAAAGTGATTGCCATTATTATGTGACAGATGCTTCATTTATCAGAGGCACAGGGGTGACAATCTGTTAAAAAAAAAAAAAAAAAAAAAAACATGGTGTGACATCACATCTCCACCGCAACCCCACCGGATCAATAACTCTTCAATCACCCCCGCCATCCCTCGACAACACCTCATCAATACCATGGCAACCCTTAATCGATCTGTCTCTGGAGAGGGCTGCTTGGGGGAGGAGAAATTGGAAAAGACAGGGAAATAGGGGCGAGGTGGACGGGGTGGTGCTCGTTATTGGATGGAGGAGGTATGGAGAGAGAGGGAGGAGAGGGATGCATGATGGTCTTGCTGTGGAACACTGATCAGTGACCAGGGGTTGTTGATGGCGGCTGCCCTGGAGCCTGGAGTAGAGGGGAGATTGACGAGAAGGAACGAGGTTGTATTGACTCAACTAGTGGACACAAGCAGCTGCTGAGGAGTCATACAACCCTGCAGTGAGCAGGGATGGCAGAGGAGAAGGTTTAGTCTCATAAAACCATCCAAAATGTCATAGCTCTCTTTTAAAACATCCACTCTGAATCTACTAGTGATTAAAAACTACAGGGAGCAGTTCAGATGACGAGTAGCGCTGTAAGTGGAATTTGTACTTAGCACTCCTGAGTCTCAGCTCCTGAATTAACCTCATTAACGGGTACTTAAAGTGAACTTGGCATTGTGGCTCTAGAAGTAAGCATGAGTCAGCAGCTGTACAGCCTAACCCTCTTCTTTCAGAAACTTTCATTAATAATATCAATAGTAATAATAATAAACTTTATAAATACAGCATCTTCAAAAACAACCAACTATTACAAAAGGGAGAAAACTGTTGAAAAAATGTCAGCACTGCAGTTGGGCTGGCTATGCAAAGTGTTGGGGAAGCTACGTTGAAAGCTAGCAATTACTTTACACTGGAAGAAGTTGAAATCTACTAGAAATCTGGTTTGTTTAACTAAAGCTTCTAAGCCACTGCTAAGAAAAAGTAGTTCAAAGTACTTGGCAACGTACACATGATACAAAATTATAACAAAATAGTTACATGCCAGTTTATTGCAAAAAGTGCCTACTTGTTCAGAGGTCATAAACTAAAAACTAAAATACCCCACTATTAATGGGAATATGCAACAAAAGTCAGCTTTGGTTTTGTTTACAATAAATGCTTAAGAAGGGCCACGGTGATCCCTCCTCAGGCTGGGATTCAGGAGGTTTGTCCATGGCGACGTTGTCGATGTGTGAGTATTGAGAAACGCCCTTAGCTCTTGCACATGCACTACACAAAGGTCAAGCGTGTGTCGTGGACTGTCTGACAAATGCATTGCCTGAGTATGCCTTCACAGCAGGATGAAAGAGAGATAAAGCAATGGTAAAATGAGAATAAAAAAATAATTCCTTTCCTTTATTTGTCCAAAATTGTTTGTAGTTTCAGAAAAAAAACAAAAAAACGGTGAAAGTAATTTCACTACTTTAATCACTACACACGTATGAATGTAGTTGAACTACCAGCAAGCTACTGCAAAATGTAGTTACGGTAGTAGTTTAGTTACATTTAGTCCACTACTTCCCAACACTGGCTATGCAAGTGTAGAGAAAGTTACAGATGAGCAGATGTTGTGGCCGAATGGAATCTCCACTCTCCTGGTGAAAAAGTCTGACAGAGGGGAAGAAGAAGAAGAAAATGAGCCCTCGAGCAACACATTTAGTCCAGTGGAGCTGCTCGATGGGTTAGAAGAGATAGAATAGAATAGATAGGTAATAGAGCATGCTGGTTAGAGTGTGTGTGTCTGGCATGTCTGTGTGCGTTGCTGAAAAATTGTCAACCTTCTCTCCAGGAGAAAAACAATTCTGAATTAACGGGCTATTTCATGAGTGTGTTTCACCTTCACGGCTGATTAGGCTGTTACTTATTACTCTAACAGAAGTATCACAGTCAACACTGTTGCATTAATAGCCAATTACAAAAGAAAAAAAAAAAGTTAAACGTGAGCTCAATTGCCCTTGTCTTGACATACACTCCCAAAGCAAAGCAAACAACACATAGACACACACACACACACACACACACACACACACACACACAGACAGACACACACACACATCTGTGCTAGTGAGTGCCATCTACTCCGCTGTGGTCTGCTAGGGGAGCAGCATGAGTGGCAGAGATGCCAGCAGAATCAATAAACTCACTCACACAGCCGTGACCGTCATTGGTCAGAACCTGGAGACGTTTGAGTCAGTGAGGGACAGGAGGTCACTGAACAACCTGCTCTTCATCACAGACTGTCCATGTCATCTCTCCCTCCACAACACGCTGCAGAAACAGAGTTCGTTTTCTAACAGACGCACTGAGCTCCGCTGTCACCATAACACTGTACAACAGCTCACTTTTATGTGACAAGTGAACACACTGCAATCTGTGCCTGCACATCATGCGCTTACTGCATTTTTTCCACAGTTCTTATTGCAACCCAGTCTTTCTTAAATTGCACACCTTCCTGCTGTTTATGTTGTTCAAGTACTGTACAGCGTATCTATTTTTATTTTTTATTTGATGCATGATTACCAGTTCATACTAATAATGTCAAAAGAGACTAGAGACATCAAAAATCTGGGGTTTTCTAATGTGTTCGTCAATCAGTTGCCATCAGAACCACTTGAAGGGATTTGGATTGAAGCTCATTTTGCCATTGGATGGACTTCCAATGTACTGTAGCATGATTCTTAAGTGAGATATCAATATCCATTTCTGATGTCAGACATACTCACAATATGAAATAAAATAAGAATTTATGACATAAAACAGTAATAATCATGATGATGCTATTACTTTTCCATTTTCTTCAGTGTAAGTGTTTGTTGCCTAGCACCGGCAAAGCACAGACGGACGTGTATGTGTATTTTAAGTGAAAATATAACTGTGGTCATAACATTAACAACACCCACTGATACACAATATAAAACTCTTATCACTTTGTTTAGGCTTTTTTTCCTTCTTCAAGTGTCCACCAACTCACCCAGATGCCGTTGTCCCCTCTCAACATACTGAAGAGCAGCTTCAGCTCCTTGACTGTGATGCTGTAACTGGCCATGACTCCCAGCATGTCCACCAGAAGGTCTGACAAAACACAGACAGAGGCAGAAAGTCAGTGTAAGGCAGCAGAAACGAGACATCCTCAATGTGTGTGTGCGTGCGTGCGTGCGTGTGTGTGAGTCAGCATTTGGAACTCCTTCTCTTGACACACTGTGAGTGTTGAGCAATCTATTAGTGCCGTCAAAATTCTCCTCCACTGTATACAAAATGCACACAACCTTGATTCTTGAGCAGAGTTGCTGAGCACAGCATTACTTTATACAGTGAATGTGTACACTCTGATGTAATATCTTGTTGTATTAGTGTTTATTGATCTTAATACATCAGGTAATGGGAGGCCAAACACGCAGAGAAGGTGTTAAATCTTCTCAACTGTTAGCTAAACAAACCAATAGCCATGTAATACTTTAGCTAATGCGGCCAACGGCGACAGGCTGGTAAATTGCGTACATAACGCTTGTTAATGAATATTGATTTATTATTATAAATTGTACCAACAAACCCCCATACACTCATTGTTAAAAAAAAGACTGTGTAAACTGGCTATATGGTGTATATACTGAACAGTTTATGTCCAACACCGAGTTACTTGTAAGTTTTCTCTGCCGTCGTGGTTTGCTGCCACAGCTTGACAAAAACTTCAGCCATTGTCACTTTCCACTGCGGGGAAGAGATACGATGGGCACATACAGGCCAGGGCTAGCTGGTTAACATGCTAACTTTAATAGAATTAGTACAAGAATTAACATTGGTGTTGCTTTCCACCTCTGGAGACAGCTCTTGACGAGTAAAGGAATAAAGTCTGATGCTGAACTCACAAAGTTTCTTCTAGACTGGTAAATAAACAGCTGTTAATGCTAATGTCGGCTATGTAGCGGTTGCAAAACTTACATATAGCTCCTTTAAAGGAATTATTTGACATACTGGGAAACAATTAATTTTTCACTGAGAGTTAGATGAAAGGACTGATACCTCTCTTATGTTTGAACATTAAATATGAAGCCACACCACCAGGCATTTAGCTTAGCTTAGCAGAAGTACTAGAAGCATGGGGAAACAGCTACCCCTGGCTTTGTCCAAAAGTAAAAAAAACAAAATCTACCTACCAGCACCTTGTACTAAAACACCAATCTAAAATCCAGAAAAAATTCTCTTTGCTGGACTAGTGACTGTTTCCCCCTGCTTATAGTCTTCACGCTAAGCTAAGCTAAGCTAAGCTAAGCTAATTGCTTGCTGGCTCTAGCTTCAAGAGACTATTTCTAAATGTCAAACTACTCCTTTAACATGTTTACAGTTTAATAAGCTATAGGAAGTCTGTAACAACCCGTCAACAACCTCACTAAGACTCCAAATGAGTTCTTGTTTAATGACCACATGTCATGAAATTGACAAAAAACAAGGCTTCAGAAACGTCTCCCTCAGAATACTTAAGCAGATAATTAAAGTCGACATTGTGCTAACATACATTTGTTTAGTCAAAATGACCTTCCTGCCTCACTGACTTTCACGGCACACAGCCACAACAGAACAGTGTGAATGTGGCAGTGGTACAGCACAGCCCTCTCAGAGTGAGGCAATCTGCTTACAAAGGTTCTTCTTTTCTATTAGGCCTGCTAGATATGAATAGAGTCTTCCCACAATATTTAATTAGCCAGAGCCCAGCGATAGGGAATAAAGCAGAAGGCTAGCTCACTGAGGTGCTTGGTATGAGAGGAAAATGCAATACACAATGTCCTAGATTTAAAACCCCTCAGCCCTGTTTTTGGTACAATCAATCCATGTAGGTCATTTTAAATAGTTTTAGAAAAGTCTTAGAATCACGCCTGAAAAATGGAGTCTGGGAGAATTGGCATTAAATTGATTTAAGCAGTGTATACTCTGCTGTGGTGAGCAGTAATAATAAGTCATAGAAGTTATAAAACACATTATCCTGCGGTGGTAGGTAGGACAGAGAGGACACTGGGAGGGAGGGAAGGAGAGGACACGCACACACCGAAGCGTCATTAAGGGGGGAAGTCAAGGCCAATATGATCATGTAAAAAGACGACTGTGTGTGTGTGCTGTTTTGCAATCAAGCCTGCACATACAAATCGCAGCACGCACAGAAACATACTGAGGTCATTACCCTGCTTCTGCTGCACCAGCGGGTTGTTATTGATGTCTGACCACAGGGCAAACACACATGCACACATGAAATAGTTTTGTTATGAAGAAAGAGATGAGTTAGACACATCTTCAACTATTGATTCTGAACTTACTGAAGTAACTCAACCTAAATTATTTTTTATTATTTTGATGGTTTTTAAACAGCTTTCTAATGTGCTACACTCCCAAAGTGAACAATATATACTGTTGACTCCAATGTCACAAATGTTGTTATCCATATAAAATATTACCCATAAAGTCCATCAAAAAAGAAAATTTTGCACCACAGTCTGGCACCAAACATGGCATATGGCTTTTGTCTCTCTTTCCTTTCTATGTTATTACAATTGTTTTCCCACCTACACACAACCTACTCAAATTCAGGAGTTTAGAGTCTTTTGTGTGATTTTGAAAGGCACTTGTGAGGAAATCATTACCTGTCGGAAATCATTACCAATGCTAAGCAGGAAAAAAAATTAAATAACAAACCTTCACAACACCAATCTTTGTTTTTATTCCACATCATAAACTTGTGCTTTAAGACAGTGTGAGGATATGTCACAGATCTTAAGTGAGTGTAAAGTTCTGTTCTGTCCCTCTGTAAATTTATGTCTTTATATCTGTTGCTCACCTGCGATCATGTCGTCCACGGTGCTCATCTTGAGCAGCACCTGCTGGATGAGGCCGACCTCTGTGCTGGTCTGCAGGTTGCGCACGCTCTTGCGCAGGATGGCTGTGAACATGCTCCAGATCTCAGCCTGGCACGTCACCTCGCAGTGGGACAACAACTCTACCATGCAGCCGATGCTCTCCGCCTCCTGGATGATGAAGTTCATCTCCAGGTCAAACTCGCCGCCCACCAGCTGGAGGAGGGTGAGGAAGAGGAGGAGGAGGAGGGGGAGGAGGAAGACAAAATGGGGAGGAAGGACATGGTTCGGGAGGCAGAAAAGGGCAGGGAACCAGTGTAAAGGAAGGTGGATAGCAGAAGCATTAGGTTGGTGTAGGGGAGGAAAAAGGGGGAGGATGAAGCAAGATGGGAGGAGAGAGAGAGAGAACAAAAAGAGAGAATGATTTAGTGAAGCATTTAACCTTTTGTCTGTAGGAGAGGTAAGCCCGGCTTCTGATGGATGCTGATTGTGGTCAGGAAAGCATTTCTTCTGCCGGGGGGCCACACATACTGCAACAAATAAACGTCCTTCATTCACACAAACACACACACACACACACACACACACACACACACACACACACACACACACACAAAACCCCATCTCCTCTCCTATTGCTCTCTCTTTCTAATGTGAGGAGTACAGCACTCTCTCCTCTGTGAACTACAATCACTCTCAAAATACAGCAGGCATAAAAATGCACCCTTCCGCTCCCTCAGATAGACACATAACCATGCAAGCACACACAACACAGGCACTGATTAATACACCGTTCAGTCTCTGTCATCTCAGATGGCATTAGTCAGAAGAGGATACCAAAGGCTACTTTTAAAGGAGACCGCAAATGCTCTCTCTTAATGGCTGGTGCACTATAATTACTTGTGAAAATACAGCCTTCATATAACTGTGCCTCACACACACTAGCACGCTCATCACATCCACCACATGAACACCAGCATACCCACTCAGCATACTACACTATCCAGGAAAGGGTAGCCATAGCAACCAACAAGCTACTGTAAGAGAAACACCATTGAGGTTATTAAATCAGATAGAACAGAAACATGCAGTAGCTGAGGAGAGGCTAGCAGACGAGAGATTACGAGCAGAAATAAAGACACCGGACAGGATAATCTGTCTGTACGACTGTGGTCTTTGTACAGGCAGAGAGAAGGAAACTAATGGATCAAATCAAGTACGGTCAGTATGTTTCACAATGAAATGAAAAGGAAGAGTAGCCCCCTGCTATCTGCATTCTGGAGAGAATGAAAGGAGAAGAAAAGGTGTCGGTGCCATTCGATAACAGGCCTGGAGTCGATCTGCAGTCAAAAATGAAACCTGAATCTGACTTGTGTTCGATAAAGGGTTTTATTCTCGATAATTCACTCTGCATGTACTTTAAAAACCATTACAGAGAAAAGCTATTCTGAGTAGGCCTGGGAATTAATTCAATAGAACTGTCTGTGCACTTAATGAGATGATCATGTTCCTGTGATTACATAATTGTGTTGTTATTGTAGTTGTAATTAAAAAAACAAAATGAGCAAATCAAGTTTTTCTTTTACATCAGTGACATTTTATATTTTTCTAATTCATTGTATAACAGTGGAACACACTGGCTTGCACATCAACCTACCTCGCCATCTCCATAACAACTGAGAAAACATCTACTGATGAGGACCATGAAATGTGTCTGAAAGCTCCAGAAAAAGCTAATAATTAGACATTTTAGACATTTATATTTTGTCAAATAAATTTTATAATGTTATATCTAATATTGTTGCATGCAATGTGCTACATAACTAAGATCATGATATTCATTTCAGGCCTTTCTATGAAACTTTTGAAATACACACTCTTCGTGTTTCAAAATTAAAAGTTTAATTCATAGTAGTAAACGCACCCTTGCTAAATTCAACACACCTAAGGGCTTTGCTGGTCTGGTATGACCATTAGTATAAGTATAAAAAACTATGATCTTGCTGTATTTAAGACATTTCTGATTCAGTTCACTGACTTTTCCTTTGTGCTACTGTTTAAGTTTAATATTAATAGGAAAAGTTCTTTTTAAAAAGTGCATTTCCATCTACCTGTTTTTATTTACATTTTTGATTTGTGCGTTCTGGAAACCAGAAAGAAAATGCAAATATTGCAAAATAAGGGTTTATGCTTGGCTGAGGTAAAAAAAAAAATTGATGTAAACATCAGATATGTGTGGACCGATGACATTGTGACCTTCCTCAAATTCATTCATGAAACAAACATGAATGGTATCATGTTTTCAACATGGTTTTCCATTGTCTGAGGTGATTCTAATTATGTCATCAAATTGTGCCCTCTTCTTCTGATTGATTTAAAGCGCCTGATTGGGGGAGCAGGACTGGCTGATAATGTTGATGTGCTCAGATCCCAATATTTTCATAATGGTAGTGGATGGAAATGCACATTAAGTTGCATTTTCTTTTATTGACTTTTTGTAAATTCAGTTACACTTAACATTACGTTTGGATGGAGACCTGGCTATGGTATCACATTAAAGAAACTCCAGGGCTTTGGATTCAATTTAAAAGGGCTATTTGTGTTTGATTCGTCACCAAAAGTGGTTTCTTGCCTGGAGCGGGTGGTGGTGATTGTCACTTGACTTCGGCCATTGTTGTGTTTACAAGACAAAGAGGTTATAATGGGTTATAATAGTCCCTGTGGGCAGTACTACGTCTTAAGGGCAGATTGGAGGCTACAGTGAGTTGCTATCGTAAACTGACGACACAGTTGAGGGCTAGCTGGTTAGCGTAACTTCAATAAAAGGAAAGACAGGATAGAGACAAGAGTTAACTTTGGCGTTGCTTTCCACCGATGGAGACAGCTCTTGGCGAGTGAAGGCATCAAGTTTGATGCTGAACTTACATTTCTTCTGGACTGGTGAGTAAACAGCTATTAATGCTAACACTAGCTAAATAGCAATAGCAAAACTCACAAATAGCTCCTTTAAATAAAAACGATCCCAGACCCAAAAAGCAAAGAAGACCCCGGGAATCGTCTCTCTGATGCTGACATATATATATAATATTGACATATAATGGAACATTAGCTGCAGCAGTCATTATCAACAGCAGTATTTATTACATACTGGCCCATTGACAGACTTCATAGATTACCGGTTAAGCCTTGTAAGCCATGGCTCCTTTTCTCTTGTTAGTTTCACTAAAGTCACCTTGCGATTGATTACATTTTAGACCTAAGGCCTTGGTGTTAAAACAACACCCATTCAAGTGTATAGTCTCCACGCTCTTCTACCTGCTTCTGATCCCTTCCCGCTCATCAGACACACTAACTGCCTCTCATTTCTCACTCTCGTTCTGCCCCTTCCCCTCTCCTCTCTCTCTCTCTCAGTGAAGTGAATTGATCCAGTGCACTCTGCGAACGCATTAGCACAGATTAGAGAGGACCCCTGAACGAGGCACGGAATAAAAGAAGGAAGAATTAATTCATCCTACATCGAATTTTTTTTCCCCCTCTCCTCTGAGGTTCCCAATTATAGAGCTCGCTTGGGACCATTGCGTCCTACAACATCTATACAACCTGCCAGTCTGAGGGTGCTCGATATACACCGCAGCGGAAGCTTAAAGGGAGACAGCGCAGATAAGTCTTTGTAGAAACTCACTCGCAGATACGCGGCAACTTGAACGCGGAAAACACACATAACCACGGGGCATACCTACACATGTACAGCACAAGCATAATCTCTCTCTCTCTGCTTACACTTCCCACCCGTGTATAGAACATCACAGCAAGATGAGAGGGGTGATGCAAACAACAGCAACAAATTGAGTCTCGTGACCAACAATACAGAGGAAAAAAAAAAAGGGGGGGGGGGGGGGGGGAAGGGGGGGGGGGAAAAAAAAAAACANACTTCCCACCCGTGTATAGAACATCACAGCAAGATGAGAGGGGTGATGCAAACAACAGCAACAAATTGAGTCTCGTGACCAACAATACAGAGGAAAAAAAGGGGGGGGGGGGGGGGGGGGGGGGCAAGTGCAGTGGGGAAAAAAAAGAACATGCCCAGATAATTATTATCTCTGCTCCACCAGAAGCAGCATCTGGAAAGGCAGCTAACACCAGGGTGAAACTGCCAGGAGCTTCCTGGACCAAGGATGTCCGGAAAGAGGGAAGGACAGTCAGACAGAGAGAGAAAATATTCTTCAAAATGAAACATCACATCAAGTATATGCTCTCCATTTAATCTGACTTCCATAAAAAATGATTGATGCTGCCCGTTATTTGCTCGAGTACGGCTTTTAATTGATGTATAAATAAACATGCTGAATAACTGGCAATAAGGTTGATCGCGAACAGCCTGAGCACACTCGAGTGCACTCGAGCACCGTCACCGTCGTCGCCACGCACACGGACAAAAGACGACTAATTAATTTTATGAGGGAACATGAATCTTTTGCATAAACACTCGTAACCTTCGATCTCTCCTTTCACCCAATTCCGTGTGTCCTGCTGGGAAAGCACCCACAAAGGGACGAGTAATCACATCAGTGAGCACGCACAAGAGGCCTTTACCACCCCGACGTATACCCCGGTGGTTAAAGAACACGCACACACAAGCAGGGACCCGTATTATGCCACGTGCCTCAGGATAGAGGGGCTTGGCAGTACCACCCCGTCTCCTCTGAGGCAATGTGAGCGCTGACCTCACTGTCTTCTTGGCAACTGGTTGAAGACGTTTGTTTTGGCAGCATTATGACAATTATTGCTCCCCAAGTGTGCGGCTCATGTCTGTATGTTCCATTCACAAAAAAAAAAAAAAAAAGAAGAAATGAACAGCATGTCATCGAGCAGTTGCTGAGGAAGTGACAACCTCTTCCCTACGATCGATGTTCCAGAGGGTTTTATAATCAATTGACATTTGAGGCTGGATTGAGTTTGTGCTTTTGCGTATGAATGTCAGTCGGCATCTTATATGACTACAGCGTATAGAATATGCACTTGTGTTGCACTTGAAATAAACAAGGTTGCATAATATTGAAATATAATATTCTCCTTGTGTTACGAGTGGAAAGAAAACTGTATTTCTTGCTTCGGAGCATTGAGTATGTTCAACCTTGAAACACTTGAAACTGTCTGAAATGCATGTTGCACCGTAATTATCACTGATGACTAATCTCATATTGTGGATTATTTAT